AAAAAAAAAAAAAGAAAAGAAGGTTAAGGATCACCGAACAATCCCATGCAAATTTTCATTACAAAATTTAGTGAATACACGTTCCTCTGTTGTGTAAATTTCCCCTTCACTGCTGCACAACATAATGGCAGGGATGTATGGCCACGTCAGCTACGTTGCAGGCGAAAACGTCTGCTTTTCGATTTAGAAGTTGTTGTCCCGTTGTTGAGCTTGTTGTGTTTTTTTGTCTGCTTCAAATCTCAAAGGCATGAGTGGATTTATAATTTATTCGACCCATCTATTGCCAAAACTTCACAAATCACCAGGCACTTGAATCGCATTAAATTTGAGAATTAAAAAAATAATAAAAACCTCATTGGGTATATCACTTAATTTAAAATAAATATGTTTTCATCAATCAATATCGGTATTTTGATATTTTATAATAGTAGCAACTTTTATGCATGGGTGGCCAACACTAAACTCTGAAGTTTTTATTTATTTTTTTTTTTGCCGCAGAACAAATTTAAAATAAAACAAAAGTTTTAAGCCGGTTAATCAACTTTAAAAAAAAAAATCATGGGTGCCATATTTTAATGAAAATAACACAATATTGTATTGTAAGTGTTCAGCGCAAAAAAAAAAAAATAAAATCAATGTAAAGTATTCCCCGCTTTCAAAAAGATTGAGAACCTCTGATCTAGAGATCACTTCTTCTCAAAAATGGAAAGTATGTCACACAGAGATTGTGTTGTCAGCCGTCCGTAAAGTAATGGGAAGTCCGTAAAAATTTGACGTTAAACTTCTTATCCGTTAACAGTCCTATGGACTTTAAGACGTCCGTTAAAAAAAAAACCAACACATTGCACACAAATACTTTAAATGATAATAAAACGGGAAGTATCACATTATGTCATTTCTTCTAACTTGATGAGACCTAAACGAAATCGAAAGTTAAATTTGACTTCCGGTAGAAACAGAAACCAATGCAGAAACCAGACTTTCTGTCAAACCCGAAAGATTTAGAAGTTTCGAAACGAAGTTCGTTCACGAATACCTTCTGCGCACGTCGAAAAATGAAGGTGGGGAGTAGCGACATTTATATACTTGTATCAACAAATTTGAGATAATCGTGACTTTTTAATTAAACATTTAATATTTACTTTGGCCTTGACCATTTGAATTAAAAACTATTTAAAGTTGTTAAAAATGTATTTTAAAGTATTATGGTAAGTGAAAATTTAGCCTAGGTGTCTGCGGGAGGGAATCCATACAAAAAGACACTTGGACGCTCTTTGCTATAGAAATACGATTACAATGTCACATGTTTAGACATATTTGGTATCGATCGAAAGGTTATCCCCACTTATTGTTTAATGGTGTGTCCCACTAAAATGTACAATTATGGAACACGTGTTCTGATTAACCATACATGTCGTTGAAACAAGCCTACTTATTGGTGGACGATTTATTTTTTTTGATTATTCGCAATTTTCATTGGTCGGCTTATTTAGATCTGACCCAGATTAAACTTAAAGTTGAGTGATTATTGAGCTATGTTTTGTATTATAATACAGTAGATCTACTACGCAATTGTTATACCAAACAGTTATACATGCAAACACTATTAAAAGTCGAGGCCTAAGCAAGGATACTTATGCTGTTGTTTAAGCTTTTCTACTAATGTTTTTTTTGGTTGTTTTTTTGTGTGTTTTTGGTTGTTGTTTTGTTATTTGAGTATTCAACCTATTTAGGTGCATAGTTTGGAAATAGGGATTGGCAACTATTGGTTTGGCCCCATCATCAAATGCCAAACTGTCAGCCAATGGAAGCTCAAATAAGGGAACCTTGCTTTAAGAATTAAAAAAAAAAAACCACTCATAATGTAGTGCAGGCGAAAGGTTAAGCAATGTGGATGTAAGAGGGTGTGTGGGTGTGGGGGGGGGGCTTAACTGGAATAAGTTCAACAAAATTGGCGTGGGACTGGTGGGCGTGTCTCATCCCCCTAAATTATATACTCCCTCCCTCTCTCTCTCTCTTTCTCCCTCCACCCCCCAAAAAAAAATTGCTCACACAAATAACTTGTCAACAACTTTAAAATTGACTTTGAGAAACACACATACTTACGCTAACATACATGACCACACACACATACAAACAGGCCGACCTCGAGTAGGCGTTTACTCACCAAAAAATCTCGGTACCGGGACCGTTAGTTAAATGACGTATTTCCGTCGTCTGCATTGCGCGGTCGGGGCATATGACGTGATTGAAGTGCAGCGCTCCTAGGGTTAAAAAAAAAACAGTACACCAAGGGGAGTAATTAACTCGTGGACTTAACGGGGTAATGAGTGGGTGATTGCAATTAATGTCCGAACGGTATAAAAAGCCTGGAGATTTCATTTCACATAAAACAAAACTTGAGAGTCGAGTAACAAGGCAAGGGAAAAAATTTGCAAAATAAAAGTTTAAAGGTTCTGGAGATTCGACAACAATATTTTTAACGTTAGAAGTGTTGGAAACGCAAAAGAAAAACATGATTCTGAAACTCGTATCTTTCGCTGTCTTTGTACAGGTAAGTTGCGGCACTTTAAAAATATTTATTTCAAACTTAAATTAATTGATAAAACCTTTTTGTGTCGTCATAAATATATTTAACGATATGAGAATCTCTCCCATTGCTTTTTAATAATTATTATTAACTTAGTTAATATATCATAAATATATGTGTTAATGTAATTAAATTTTTATTGACATCTGATAAATATAAAGTTGGGCTTGAATTGCTTTGAATAGCTCTCGGTTTAAACTTCGTGGTCTAGCTGTGTCTAGTTAATTAAACACTTTCTCCTAGCAGCGTAAAAACTCAAAAGCATCTTGATCTTTAAACTTCACAGGCAGACGTATCATCTGACGCAAAATAAAAAATAAAAAAAAAAAAAAAAAGAACACAAAAACTTTAATTTTTAAAAAAACGTCTGATATGAATAGTTGTCTAGCTGTGTAGTGTCGTCCGGCAGTAACACCCATTATGACGAACAATGGCGCAAAAACATAGTTAAAAAGTAAATTAAGAAATAAGGTTTTAAAGTTTTATTTTATCCACTTCCTATTCTGATCCTGATAGGGTACGTTGCTGCATCCATGGTCCGGCATTTGTGCACTAATTGTCTCAATGCTCATGCGTGCCCGCCTTTCTCTCTATTCTCACCAACGTTTAAAATTATTTTTTTTTTCTTTTAGTGCGATTAAGTTTGATTTAAAATTTTACAATTGAACTCACAATATTAATTATTTTTGTCTTTCTTTTTTTTCCCCAGCTGATTTCCGGTTTTGCTTGTAAGTTCGTTTTAGTGTATCTTTTATTTATATTTCGTGTAGAAAAATAATTAGCACAAAAATATGTCAACATAATTTAATTTTTGTTAAATAATATCTACAAACTTATGATCTATTTCTTTTGTGTAATGTATCGCGTTGGATTCTAGTGAATGCAAAAAAAAAAAAACTTTATGTGAATAAAATACAAGCTTTAATTATTATTTTCTTTATTGTTATAGTGACATCTGCTATCCTGTTTATTAAAAAATTTTTTTTTTTATTAATTTTAGCAAAACTTTTGATCTTCCATAAATTTGTCACGTGTTCTCTCTTCAAAACACCGTTAGATAGTGATCTTATGTCAGGACATTTGAGCTCATGGGAAAATTAGGGAAAAGTTGGCGGTGCGTGAGGGGGGGGGGAGAGGGTAGGGGCAGATGACGCTTAAATTCGTCGTTTCCGGTCCCGTCCAGTCGTTTTTAGAGAGAGTAGAAAGTTGTGCTGTTGTTGTGTCGCCCGTCTGACCTTTCAAATCACGTAACCTTTTGGGGTGGGTTGTTTTTGTTGGTTTTTTGATGTTTTTTTTGCGACGAGGCTTCAATTTATTTTTGCTCACGGCTGATAATATAGGACGGTCTTGCTTTCAAGCCGTGTCAAGAAAATATTTATTTAAAAATAAATTTTAAGTATTCGCCTCTTGTTTTGCATTGCTTCCCCCCCCCCCCCTTAAACCTATTACGCGGATCGCCGAAAACGTCCCTGTCACTGTCCTGTCTCTTCAGTCGTACTTCTTAAACATATCTAGTTCAACTATTTATTTTATAACTAATGCAGACACATGTCATGTGTCAGGGATACAACCCTAAGACTTGGTTTTTCGCTGTATGGGCGTGAAACAAAAAATATATATTTTTTTTAAAAGTCAATGAAGATGTTAACATTTTATGGTGGGGAAACCGTGTCTCAACCTCCCCCCCCCCCCCCCCCCCCCTTTTTTNCTTTTACAACAAAAGCGACGTACTATTTTGCTGTAATGTGGGATCTTAATGAAATTGTACGACCCACATATTTTCAAACTATATCTGATGATGCCTAAACAATAGCTGACAAACATTTGACGAATAATACCGTAAATATACTTTTTTTTTTTTTTTAAATTGGCGGGTAATATTGATGTGTAACTTTTTGTTTGCGCAATATCCTGTTGAATTCTATAATTTCAAATGGCTCCAATTTCTCTTTTCGTTTAGTCAACTTGGGAGATCTCAATCTGTTCGGCCCCAACAACAGGAGAGAAACAGTAGAGGACCAAGGAACACATTTATTGGGTAAGATAAGCCTCTCATATAACGTGTGCTTTATTAAAGCAATGTTAATTGTGCCAAGGAATCAAAACAAACAAGCACTGAGCCACCCACCCTACTGCTAACAGGTCTGAACAATGTTTTTCTTTTTACAAATAGCACATAGAACATCATCAAATTTAAAATAAGATGTATTAATAAGCGGAATAACTTCCTGAGAGTAGCGCAGTCTCGTGATATCTCCGTGTTGTCTCCCACAGTTTGCACACAAGAGCCGCTAGAATTCGGCATCGTCCTTGACTCCTCCAGCTCCATTGCCAGAAAGGACTTCCAGACGGGCATCAAATTCTTGCAAGAATTTCTCCAGCAGTTTGAGGTTGGGTCCGGCCCCAATGACGTCAGAGTGTCCATCATCACGTACGGCAAAGGAATTTACCCAGAAGTAAGAATTCCCGGAAAGCTGTGGTCGCGTCAGTAAGGGATGCTTTGACAGCGTTCTGGTGTACACAGATTTAGGGATGCGTTAACCGCGTTCTGATGTGCACAGTTTAAGCTATGTGTTAACAGCGTATTGATGTACACAATTTTAGGAATGCGTTAACAGCGTTCTTGTGTACACAGGTTATGGTATGCGTTAACAGCATTTTGATGTACACAGTTTTAGGAATGCGTTAACAGCGTTCTGATGTACACAGTTTAAGATATGCGTTAATGGCGTTCTAGTGTACGCAGTTTTAGGAATGCGTTAATGGAGTTGTAGTGTACGCAGTTTTAGGAATGTGTCAATGACGTTCTGGTGTACGCAGTTTTAGGAATGCGTTAAAGGCGTTCTGGTGTACACAGTTTTAGGAATGCGTTAATGGCGTTCTAGTGTACACAGTTTTAGGAATGCGTTAATGGCGTTCTGGTGTACGCAGTTTTATTTTTTAACCGAAGAAACAAATTCCTACAAAATGTTTCTCTTGTACCTTTCATCAGTCTATCATTATTAAGTATTTTACGCACTAACCAGCATAGCTCAAACGTGCACAAGGGAAAATATGTCAATATACAGTAATGCGTAATAGTGATCGAAATACTTGTTGCTCATCTCTGTGTGAAGTTTTTTTAAAATTACTAATGCTTCAAACATTTATTACTCTTGTTAACTGACTTATAAGATGTGATTTTATTAATTTTTTTTTAATTTGCTGGACACCACATATGAGTAACATGGATTGAAATAAGTATTATTTAGTTATTATTTAAAATGACAATTTTATAGCCACATATGCCTTCGTCTCATTCGTGCCGTGATTAGCATGATCTATATACAAAAAAACGTGTGTTTTTTTCCTCTACAGGACGCCTTCAACTTGACCACCTACAACAATAAACAGGATGTGATCCGCGCCATTGGTCAAATCCCCCACAGGGCCGGTCTGTACACGGACACAGGCTTGGCCATCAAATACATGCACGAGGCTCAGCTCGTTGATGGTGTGGTCAGACCAGGCGTCGAGAAGATCGGACTCGTCATCACAGACGGAAATTCCCAGTTGTAAGTTGGAACATTAACGTACTAACTAACACACATATTCTGGTGAGGGTCTGAGATGACTCTCTTATGACCCCGGCTAGTAAATTGGCCACCAACTCCATCTGTTGAGCTGAGCCATACAACATTTTCCACACAAAGGGTCCTCCAACCGCCCGGGCTTCCCCCGCGAGATCTAGTGAGGAACGTTCGGTCAACAAGTGCTCTTAGAGTCTCCGGGACCAGGCTGCAATGCCGGCAGGTAGGATCCCTGTTGTTATCCAGCCGTCAGAAATATGTGCGCAAGGGGCAGTGCTCGGTGCGCATCTGCGTCGCTAAGCTCTGTACTAAATGAATCAAAGCGACATGCGCCTTAACGAGACATGTACTATTCGTATATCTTTATACGTATTCTGTTGTTTTTTTTGCGTGGTCAACGGCATCTGATTATGATAACACTAGTAGATTTAACGATTGCTTTTTTTAAAAATGGGTTTTAATTATGTTTAAAACACTTTATGTTTGGTGGTAAGTAAATCGAAACGCTTCCGGGGTGGGAGTTATTTTAGCGGGGACATAAATAACGGAGGTCAGCGTGGGAGAAGAGCAGGCGTAGCACTAACAACCGTCAGAAAAAAAAAAAGCTCCTCTAAAACGGAATATTTTGTTTTCTTCTGCACAGATGGAAGGTGACCAAGCAGGAAGCTGAGAACGCTCGGGATGATGGTATCAACATGTTTGCCATCGGCGTTGGGGTTGGCATCAGGGACTCGGAGCTGCTCAACATCGCAGGGGACGAGAGCAGGGTGACAAAGGTCGACAACTACGATTCCTTGGCCAGCATCAAGGAGTCCTTGGCCCACAAGACATGCATCAGTGAGGATAAATAGTTGTTATTTTTTTAATTACTTTTTTTCTCGGTCGCAGTGGTAAAACATTTAGTGATAATTTTTTTTTTACAAAACTAATTATCATTTAAACAAGAAATTTTAGGAAAAGAATATGTTAATTTTGATAATTATGCACCATAGTTATATTATACTTTCTTGTGTTTGTGAACTAATAACTAAGACTAAGATCTATCTTATTTCCAGTTTAATTTAATTTTTTTAAACTTTCTGTTCACAGAGAAGGAAAAGCCAACCACTCTCCCCCCTCTAGATGAACGTAAGTAAAACACAATTCTATTACAGTCCATCAATGACATCGAAATTAAATTGATATGATGGACGTTATTGTTAATGACACCAGAGAAAACAATTATGTTTATATACGGTTGTTATGCAATCGAATGCAATTGATAACTTTATTAATAAAATCATGTGATGTGGTTCCCCCATTATGTTCACCCACAGCTTGCGGTCTAAAGGACCCAGCCGACATTTATTTCGTGTTCAGCCCATCTGCACTGGGCCCTGATGCTACCGCCTGGACCACTTCTTTCATCTCTAACACCATCGATTCTGATGACTTGATTGACGGGTTCAGAGTAGGTGGAGTTTACTTGATTAGGCGGGGTTAATATTGATGGGCGGGATAAATGTTGATTAGGCAGGATCATTTTTGATTGGCGGGCTCAATATTGATAGGGGTGATAAAAGAAATGATAGAGATATGTTATGAATTGTGTCTAGGCTATTTTAACTTTGAACACATTAATTTCCTATTTCTTTCACTTGTGGTCAAACATTTTTGGTTGTATGTCTACAGTACATGTCATTTCAAGTTCTACTTTTTGTCCTGTTTTCCAGTATGGCGTCGTATCCGGCTCCTGTCCTGACGATGCTGGTTTCGATTTGGACACCTACGACAACGTCGATGATATCCGAGCAAGGATCCGGTCATACGAGGAAAGAAAACTCCCCTCTCTCGTTCAGGTAAACATTAGAACCACAAATTAAACTTATGCCATTGAAACTGTTCTCAAAGAGAAAGTGAATATTGCAAATTGTGATCCTCTATAGCAAACGGATTTGGGGAGGGGGGGGGGGTGAAGCATTCATTTATATTCTTCTTCTAATGACATGACGTCAATCTATTTTCTAGAGTCTCGCTGCCGATGGTTACACCGCGGCTAGGGGAGCCAGGGACGGTGCCAGGAAGGTCGCAGTGATTGTGGCCACCAAAGACAAGAAACTTGCAGATTTGCAGGCGGAGGTCGACAAGCTGGTCGCTGACGGTGTCAAGGTCAGTTGGTTCTAGATTAATCACGTTTTATCTCTAGAAATTTATGAGTGAAAAATTGGAGATACTTTTTTTAAATACTTGTAGAAAACTTTGACGAATCGGAAAGTCATCATGTTTAATATGTTGCTATGGTAACGGAGGATAACATTCATGATAGGGTAAATCTAAGGCAAGGAGAATCATCCAACATTGTCCAAGAAAAAGTACCGTTAATAAATTATATTTTTTAGAGCTCGTCATATGCCTAGCATACTAAATGAATTGATTAAACATCCCAGAGCATGAGTGGGATCAGTAAGGGTTTGAGTGGGGGGCAATGCACCACGGGTAGCATTAAGTGTAGCTACGCCCCAGAGTGAGGTTTTTCATTGACTATAATTAGTTATGCAGGTGGAAGGGAAAACAATTGTTTATCACTTGGGTTGATCTTGTTGAGTAACCGTCAAGTTTAGAGAGTTCTTTGGATCAAATTTAGGAGATTACGACAAGATAGTTATCTCATCTACAACATTCATCTTATTTTCTCTCACAGGTCTTCATTGCTGACCCGACTGGTGAAGGCATCTCTGTAACAGGAGCAACGACCTTGACCGAACGTTCGGCCACGCAACAATCGGATCAGCTCATAACTGCTCTGTGTCCCTCTAAATAAAGAATTGGTGGGTCAACTTTGACTTCAATCACGCACATCACGGTTTTAATGTATTATGTTGTAAACATTTAAAGATTTCATGAAATGTTTTGTAAACATCCTTGATATTCTTAAAACAGATTCGACATTTTGTCCTTATTGTATAGTGCATAATATATATATTGTTAGTATTTAATTCTTTTTTCTATTACTGGGAATAAAGCTATTTTAAAAATATTTGAACATTTTTTTTAATGTGACTTGTAAGGAACATTACGTCAGATCTTTAAAACAATCCTAACTATTTGGTCTTTAATTTTTTCTTTCACAGACAATGCTCTCGTGGCAGATTCCTCGATCTGATGTTGACGTCATTCAATCGTGTTGTGATGATCTAGTGACAATATAAGGCTATAATCCCAACACAATGTGACAACATTTTAATATTTAAGTTAACTTTGCTTTTGTACATTCCCCCATTTCAGTTAACTTGATTCAGACTAATTGCACCCTTATGCATTGTAAACATAACATGCTACAGCCAGATAAAAATAGACAAGTAATAATCTAAACAATTTTTTTTTAAATTTTAAATTGTTTGAACAATAATTTTTCTTTCATTAATACCCCAACTATCAAGCCAACAAAGAATCATAAATATATTGAGTCGTCTTTTCTATTTCATTTTTAAATAGGTGCTTTTAAAAAATTTTCTAACAGTGCATTTCACAATTTTTAAACCTTTTTATTTTGATTATGTTTTTGTTTATATTTTATATTCTTTTGATGACAATAAAAAAAAAAAATAATAAAAAAGTCTAATGTTTTTATTTAATTTCTAGTTACAAATTTGTTGTATTTTTTTTTAGCTTTGTTGTATTTTTTTTAGCTTTGTTGTATGTTTGTATTATAAATTGATCGGGCTGCTTGTTAAGGTTACTTGGTTAGAACTCTTTTCAAACATTTTGCCAGTGGGTTTTTTTTTTTTTTATTTTATTTTTAAAACTTATTAGCTTTGTTGTATGTTTGTATTATAAATTGATCGGGCTGCTTGTTAAGGTTACTTGGTTAGAACTCTTTTCAAACATTTTGCCAGTGGGTTTTTTTTTTTTTTATTTAATGTTTAAAACTTATTAATAGAATATCCGGGCACTCCGTTCCATTTGGCCAATCTTTCAACAGCCGTTGGTTACTTCTGCATTAATAATGAGTCATCGAACGGAACGGAACCAAAATCATGTCAGTAAAGATATTCTAAGAACTTTTTTTACTCACACGAACATTTTACTGATATAGACATAATATACGACTGATGAAAAGCAAAGCCAGCACACATGTTTCACAAGATCATTGCGCGGTGTTCCATAAATAGTAATAGGACTTATTCACGGTGGTGTTTCGCGGGTGAGAAATGACGAACCCTGATGGGTTCGGAAAGCCAGTTAATTTATCTTTTTTTTTTTTTTTCACTGACTTGATTTGGTGCGAAAATAAATCGAGCAATCAAGTTTTCCAAACTTTTGAAGGATATGAAGATAATGCATCTCATTCCGCAACTTAAACAGTATCATAAAATATCACCTCAATTCTGTCGTCTGTGTATTAACTAACCTTTATTTCACCATTTTACATTCCTTTTTATACCCCCACATCACACGATCGCTCACTCAAATTCTCCAACGACTCATCGCACTTTCATGAAATGTTGACGCATTCATGAAAACAGCTCACCACGCCCAGTCAAACAACATGACCAGCCAACACAGGACATTCAGGTCACATGGGTCAATCAGTACACACTGACCGGTAGTCCCTCGTACTGGCACAGCGACCCGTAAACTCATGGGCACAGTCGCAAAAAAATTAAAATAAAATAATCAACAAAATTTAGTTCCACATTTGTAACACACCTACTCTGACATGGCGTGGGAGCTTATTTCTTATGCTGTGGGTTATGTCAGTAGTATGGTTACTTATGTTATGTTGATATTTCAGGATGCCGACTAAGGCTTCTTCATTCTTCCACTTATAATCCGGGCACGCAAATAAGAATACTGAATCCTGGTTAAACTTACAGTACTTTATTGAACACACTTTATATTGATAATATTAATAAATAATCCTTGCATGAATGTAATTTCA